ACCTTAGATTTCTAGAACTTACTCACTCTGCAAAGCTGAAAACTTGTTCCCTTTGACCACTGTCTCCCCATTTTCCCTACACCCAGCCCCTGGCAACCACCATATTGTTCTTTGCTTCTGTGATTTGACTCTTTTAGATCCCATACAGAAGTATGATCACCTAGTATTTATCTTTACCCCTGGCTTATTTCATTTAGCATAATATCCTCCACGTTCATACATGTGATCATAAATGACAGATTTTCTTCTTTGCTAAGGCTGAATAATATTCTGTGGTATATATATATCTATTTGCCACATTTTCTTTATTCATTCATCCATTGATAAAACTTTCAGGTTGATTCTATATCTTAAGTATTCTGAATAATGCTACAATGAACAAGATTGTGTGGCTATTTCTTGAATGCAATGATTTTATTTCCTTTGAATATATACCCAGAAGGAGGATTGGTGGACCATAGGGTAGTTTTATTTTTAGTTTTTTGAAGAACCTCTATACTGTTTTCCAAAATGGCTGCACCAATTTATTATACATTCCCACCTACAGTGTATAAGAGCTCCCCTTTGTTCACATCCTGGCCAACACTTAGTTTTTGTCTTTTTGATAATAGCCATTCTAACAGATGTAAAGTCTTATCTTATTGCACTTTTGATTTGCATTTCCCTGTTGAGTAGTGATATGGAACATTTTTTCATATACCTATAAATGACCATTTATATGCCTTCTTTTGAGAAATGTTGATCAGGTCCTTTGCTCATTCTTTAATTAGGTTATTTGCCTTTTTGCTATTGAGTTGTTTGAGTTCCTAATATAAAATTAGGATATTTTTCTTTATCAAATCTTTATCAAATGTATGGTTTGAAAATATTGTTTCCCCCTTCCATAGGTTGTCTCTTTAATCAGTTTTTTCTTTCCTGTGAAGAAACTTCTAAATTTGATGCAATCATATTTGTATAGTTTTGCTTTTGTCACCTGTGCTTTTAGGGTTGTATATTTTTAAAAAATAATTTCCCAGATCAATATCAAGAAGCTTTTCTTTTATGTTTTTTTTCCTAGGAATATTATAGTTTCAGGTCTTACATTGAAATTTTTAATCTATTTTGAGTTTGTTTTTGTACATGGCATAAGTGTTTACTTTCATTCTTCTATATGCATACATCTAGTTTTCCCAAAAACATTTATTGAAGAGACTGTCCTTTCTGTATTATGTAATCATGGCACCTCTTTGTGAAGGTCAATTGACTGTTAATATGTGAATTTATTTTGGGCTCTCTATTCTGTTCCATTGGTCTATATGTCTGTTTTTTTTTTTTCCAACAATATGTTTCTCCATGAAGGCCTATATATGTCTGTTTTTATGTCAGCAGCATAGTGTTTTGCTTACTATAGCTTTGTACTATATTTTGAAATTAGGTAGTGTGATGCCTCCAGCTGTGTTCTTTTTGCTCAAGATTGCTTTGGCTATAACAGGTTTTTTGTGGTTTCATATGAATTTTAATATTAATTTTTAAAAATTTCTATAAAAATGTCACTTTAATAGAGGTTGCATTAAATCACCTTGGGTATTATGAACATTTGAATACTATTAATGCTTCCTGTCTGTAAATATAGGCGAACTTTTCATTTATTTGTGTCTTCATTATCTTCTTTCATCAATGTCTTATAGCTTTCACCTTCTTGATCATATTTATATCTAAATATTTTACTCTTTGTAATGCTATTGTGAATGGATTATTTTGTTAATTTCTAGAACAGTTCATTGTGAGCATATAAAAATGCTACTGGTTTTTGCATGTTGACTTTGTATCCTGCACCTTCACTGAAATTGTAAGTTCTAACAGTTTTTCTTTTTTGGTGGGGTCTTTAGGATTTTCTATTTATAAAATCTGGTCATCTGTGCACAGAGATAATTTTACTTCTTCCTTTCCCAAAGGCATCCAAGAAAGTGGATGCCTTTCTTTTTGTTTTTTTTTTTCTTTTCTTTTCTTTTTTTTTCCTGATTGTTCTAGCTAGGATTTCCAGTACTATATTGAATAAAAGTGGTGAGAATGTATGTCCTTGTCTTGTTTCTGATCTTAGAGGGAAAATATTTAGCTTTTCACCATTGACTAAGATATTGGCTGTGGGCTTGTCATACGTAGCTTGTGGGCTCGTCACATGTAGTTTTTGTTATGTTAAAGTGCTTTCCTGATATACCTAATTTGTTGGGAGTTCTTATCACGGAAGGATGTTGAATTTTGTTAAATAATTTTTCTGCATCTATTAAAATACTCATATAATTTTTATTCCTTTTGTTAGTGTGGTGTATCACATTTATAGATTCATGTATGTTGAACTATTCTTACATCTCAAGAATAAATACCACTCAATCATGGTGTATGAACCCTTAAATGTGCTGATAATTTCAGTTTGGTAGTATTTTGTTGACCATTTTTTGTATCTATATTCATCAGAGTTATTGGCCTGTAATTGTCTTTTATTATAGTGTCCTTTGGTATCAGGGTAATGCTGGGCTTGTAAAATGAGCATGGAAGAATTCCTTTGCTTTAAGTTTTTGGAAGAGTTTGAGAAACATTGGGATTAATTCTTCTTTGAATGCTTGGTAGAGTTCATGAGTGACACAATCAGTTTCTGAATTTTCATTTTGGGGAGGTTTTTAACTACTGATTCAATATTCTTACTCATTATTGATCTGTTTAGATTTTATATTTTCTCATGATTCAGTGTTGGTAGGTTGTATGTTTCAAGGAATCTGTCTGTTTCTCCAGGTTATCCAATTCGGCAATGTATAATTGTTCATAGTGGTCTCTTGTATCTGTTGTATTTATTGGCATCAGTTGTGATATCTTCTCTTTCATTTATAATTTTATTTATTTGAGTCTTACATCTTTTTTCTTACTCTTGCTAAATGTTTGTCAATTTTGTTTACTTTTTCAAGAAAACAAGCCTTAGTTTCATTTCTATTGTTTTTCTATTTTATTTCTGTTTGATCTTCCTTATTTACTTTTTTTCTAATAACTCTAGGCTTACTTTGTTCTTTTTCATTTTGTGAAGTGTAATTTTAGGTTTTCTTATTTGAGCTCTTTATTTTCCCTTATTGTAGGCACTATTTCTGTAAACTTTCCTTTTTAAACTGCCTTTACTGCATCTCCTAAAGCTTATGTTGTCTTTCCAATTTTATTTTTCCCAAAATATTTTTTGATTGCCTTCTTGATTTCTTCTTTGAATGGTTGGTCATTTATGAGTGTGTTGTTTTAATTTCCAAATATTCAAAGATTTGTAAATGTTCCAATTTTTCTTCCATCATTGATTTTTTAGTTCACATTATTGTGATCAGAAAATGTATTTGATGTGATTCTCATTTTTACAAATTTGTTCATACTTGTTTTGTGGCCTAACACAAGGTCTGGAAAAAAAGGTGTAGTCTACTGTTGTTTAAAGGAAAACTCTGAATATGTTTGTTAGGTCCATTTGGTTTATAGTTTTGTTCAAATCTTCTGTTTCCTTATTGATTGTTTTCCCCTGGATGATTTATCTGGTCCTGACAGTGGGTACTGAAGTTCTCTACTATTATTGCTATCAACTTTCCCCTTACATTTTGCTAATATTTGCTGAACATAGTTAGGTGCTACAATGTTGGGTGCAGACATATTTACAGCTGTTATATCCTCTTGATAAAGTGACTCCTTTACCATTATATAACGACTTCCTTTGTATCAAGTGAATGCTTTTGACTTAAAGCCTATTTTGTCTAAGTATAGTGACATGCTTGTTCTCTTTGTTACATTTGAATAAGATGTCTTTTCCCATCCCTTCACTTTCAGCTTGTGTGTATTCTTAAAGCTAAAGTATTTCTCGTAGGCAACATACATAGTTGAATATTGCTTTTTCACCTGTTCAGCCAGTTTATGCCTTTTGATTAGAGAAATAATCCATTTACATTTAAGATAATTATTGATGGTTACATTTAAAGTAATTAAATGGTAATTTATCAATAAGTAACAATAGTAATTTTTCCAATAATTACTTGAAATGTAAATATAAATGGATTTACATTTAAAGTGATTATTGATAAATTACTATTGCCGTTTTGTTCATTGTTTTCTGATAGCCATTTCTCTGTTCCTGTCTTCCCTTATTGGCCTCTTTTTGTGATTTAACTTTTTATTTTTGCAATTGCATGCTTTAATTCCTTTTTCTTTGAGTGTGTTTTCTACAGGTTTTCTTTCTGTAGCTGCTGTGGGGTTTATATAAAACATTTTATAGTTATTATAGTCTATTTTAAGCTGATAACTTCAACTGCATTTAAAACCTCTACACTTTATATTTTCTTCTCCCCACATTTCATGTCATTGGATGTCATAATTTATATCTTTTTGTATTATGTATCCATTAACAAATTATTGTAGCTATACTTCTTAACATTTTTGTTTTTTAACTTTTATACAAGTTAAAAGTAATCCACACATGTCCAATACAGAATTAGAACATTCTTAATGTGATTCTATTCTTAACTTTACAATGAGTTTTATTTATTAATGTCCAACATTTATTTTAGGTTCAGTGGGTACATGTGCATTTTTGTTACATGAGTAAGTTGCATGTCATGGGGATTTTGTGCACTGATAATTTTCTTTGCAAGCTTGCTAGCATCTGTTGCTTTTTGACTTTTTAATAATAGTTACTCTGATTGGTGTAAGAAGTTATCTCATTGTGGTTTTGATTTGCATTTCTCTAATTATTACTGATATTGAGCATTTTTCATATGTCTTGTTGGCTGTGCTTATGTTTCTTTTGAGAAGTGTATGTTCGTGCTCATGTTCTTTGCCCACTTTTTATTGGGGTCGTTTGTTGATTTGTTTAAGTTCCTTGTAGATTCTAGATAAGAGACCTTTGTCAGATGCATAGGTTGCAAATATTTTTCTCCCATTCTTTACATAGTCTGTTTACTCTGTTAATAGTTTTTGTTTTGTTTTGTCTTGTTTTTTTTTAATTACTTGGCCCTGCTCAAGCAGGACTTCAAAAAATTTGCTAACTAACTCCATCTGTTCCTTTTCATGAAAACCTTTAATAAAAGGCAACAGATTTATTCACTCTGAAGAGAAACCAGAAAAATAGTTTCTTATGCCATGCATAAATTTAATTAGGTCTCACTTGTCAATTTTTGTTTTTGTTACAATCACTTTTGGAGTTTTTGTTATGAAATCTTTGCCAATTCTATGTCCAGAATGGTATCTCCTATGTTTTCTTCAAGGGTTTTTATAGTTTTAGGTTTTACATTTGAATCTTTAATCTATCTTGAGTTGATTTTTTTACATAGTGAAATAAAGTGGTCCAGTTTTAATTTTCTGCATATCTTATTCCAGGATCATTTATTGAATAGGGAATCCTTTCCCCATTGCTTATTTTTGTCAACTTTGTTAAAGATCAGATGGTTGTAGGCATGCAGCTTTATTTCTGTGCTGACTTATTCCATTGGTCTATGTGTTTGTTTTTGTACCAGTACCATGATGTTTTGGTTACTATAGCCTTGTAGTATAGTTTGAAGTTGGATAGTGTAATGCTTCTGGCTTTTCTTTCCCATTAAGGATTGTTTTGAGTATTTAAGCTCTTTCTAGGTTCTGTATATATTTTAGAAGAGTTTTTTTCTAATGCTGTGAAAAATAACATTGGTTAGTGTTACAAAAATAGCATTGGATCTGTAAGTTGCTTTAAGCATTATGACCATATTATCAATATTGCTTCTTCTATCCATGAGCATGAAACGTTTTTCCATTTGTTTGTGTTATCTCTGATTTCTTTCAGCAGTGTTTTGTAATTCTTATTGTAAAGATCTTTCATCTCCCTGGTTAGTTGTATTTCTAGGTTTTTTTTTTTTCTTTTCTGACTAATATGAATAAGATTGTATTCTTTATTTTGCTCTAAGCTTGAACATTATTGGTGTGTAAAAATACTACTGATTTTTGTACATTGCTTTTATATCTTCCAACTTTGTTGAAGTTGTTTATCAGATCTAGAAGGTTTTGGGCAGACACTGTGGAACTTCCTAAGTATAAAATAATATCATTTGTAAATAGAGATAATTTGAATTCCTCTCTTCCTATTTGAATTTTAAAATTTCTTTTTCTTGCCTGATTATTCTGGCTAGAACTTCCAGTACTATACTAAATGTGAGTGGTGAGAGTAGGTATCCTTGTCTTGTTCTGGTTTTCAAGGGAACTGCTTTTAGCTTTTGCCTGCTCAATATGACATTGTTTGTAGGTTTTTCATAGATGACTCCTATTATTTTGAAGTATATTCCTTTGAATCCTAATTTTTGAAGATTTTTAACATCAAGGGATATTGAATTTTATTGAAAGCCTGTTCTTTGTCTATTGAGATAATCATGTGGTTTTTGTCTTTAGTTCTGTTTATGAGATGAATCACATGTATTGTTCTGCATATGTTGAACCAACCTTGCATCCCAGAGCTAAAGCTTACTTGATCATGGTGGTTTTTTGATATATTGCTGGATTTGATTTACTAGTATTTTGTTGAGGATTTTTACCATGTATGTTTATTAAGGATATTGACCTGAAGATTTCATTTTTGTTGTGTCTTTGCAAGGTTTTGGTATAAAATAATGCCAGCTTCATAGAATGAGTTAGGCAGGAGTCCCTCTGCCACAATTTTTTGGAATAATTTCAGTAGAATTTGTACTAGCTCTTTTTTGTACATCTGCTAGAATTCAGCTGTGCATCTGTCCAGTCCTGAACTTTTTTTGGTTGGTAGGCTTTTTATTACTATTTAATTTCAGAATTCACTGTTAATCTGCTCAGGGTTCCCATTTTTTTCCTGGTTCAATCTTGGCAGGTTGTATGTTTCAAGGAATTTATCAGTTTCTTCTAGATTTTCTAGTTTGTGTGCTCAGAGGTGCTTATAATAGTTTATAAGGATTTAAAAAATTTCTGCGAAGGCTGGGTGTGGTGGCTCACACCTATAATCCCAGCATTTTGGGAGGCTGATGTGGGTGGATCACCTGAGGTCAGGAG